CCTCTTCAACTTGGTTCCACACTGAGAGAATTCATTATCAGCAGTTAAATTCAATTGCGTAGTCACGGCAAAATATCTGCATGAAATGGGCGCCAAAGCAATTCATTAGCTGGAATCAAAAGATTGATTCTGCTAATAGAACTATTACTGACTGATTCACCAAACTCGGATACTTTTTTACTGCTGATATATCGTCGAATAGCTGCTGAAGATGAATATATATTTTTCACTCACTTCTCTGGAACACTATAGATAAGTTGGCGATATAGCTCTATTTTATAGATATTTTCATGGACGATGCTCTTCTGAATTATCAACAATTGTACCTCCCTTGACAGTCCCCGCGAAATTAACCCGTCGAGTTGAGGCTTCGCACACCTTCGTGGTCACTTTGGAGACCTGCAGAACATTTTTTCCAAAGACTCGTTCATCCTACGAACAGCGAGGCTCTGGAACACATCGCCGAAGGAGGTGCTCCCCGAGGCATATAACCTCCAGAAAAGAAGAACACCAACTCTTACCTCATTTCCCTTGGTTCTCACGATGTTCTCTGAACATAACAGTATAACCCTTTTCGTGGACACCAGAACATACAAAAAAAAAAGATGAGTCCATTGTAAAGAATTGATCTGCTATCAGCTTCAGTAGGGATCTCGAAGAAAACCTTCGTTTGAATCAGTTGGAGTTTTACCTATTTATTGAACAATCTATATATAAATTTCAATCAACAATCATGATGGAGAGAAAATATCTGAAAAATATAATTATATATACATAAAATTGAATAATATTTTTTCAAATCATGTCATCACTTCTCCTATACTTATTATGAATTATATTATTTGAATCGCAATTGATAGGCTAAACATCAACTGATTGAAATTGTATGGGTTCCTTCGGAAACACACCGTTCTTCCGACATTTTTGAACACTGTTTCGGATAGATTGTCTGCATTATGTTATCTTGATAATATCTACACTGAAAAAAACTTCACATACATTCCCATATTCTGATTTTTGACAACACTCGAATAGCAAGGATAACCACCAATGAGTTTCATCAAAAATTTTCCTTTATTTTGGCGTTAGCCTAATCAATTAAAAAATTTCGAGGAATTTGAAAATGACTTTCTCCACAATAATCATTATAATATATATTATTATAGCAATGTGTATTCGTTGTTTCATCATAGCATAGATGTCGATAAAAATATCCATATCCCACGATTACAACCAATTTGAATCCCACAGCATCAAATCGGAAGTCACAACTTTTATAATCCACTCAGATGTTGACACATGATACACTATACACACCAAACTTTGAGAATGTATCGTAGATTCATAGATTATCATCGGCGACGAAGAGGTATCCGATTGTAAATCGCCCACCTCGAGTTGGCGTCAACATCCAATAGTCATAAATAATCGCATCAAGCTTTATGTGGCAAAACATGGATAATCAGGTGGAAATTTGTGTAGCGCTGGCGCTCTTCGAAAAATCAAATAGGCTACCAATCAGTGCTGTATTGGTCTATATTTACCACAGCAGAGTTAATGAATGAAAATTTGATGACAATCCAAAATAAAATGGACAATCTTTTCAATTTTAATGGGTGCGTTCTTAGTGAAGACAACTTGTTACAGTACATGGGTTCCTATTTGTTCCGAATAGAATTGTCTCATTGAAATAAATTAATGCCAGTGAATTTTCAGCAACAAATATATATCGTGCTAGTCTGAAGAAAAAAAATCACCAGATTGACTCTATGGTGTAATTGTTCGCTAATAATTCCAAGGCAAATGATTGTCAATTTAAAATAGCAAAATCTATCGGATCCAATACATATGGTTTAAGCAAAGCGCTCGATTTGGTCGATCTTTCTCAGTGTAGGTTCATAGAAAATATCCTCGAACATATTTTGACTCATGAAAACAAATCCCACTTTGAATTTTCAAGCAATATCAATGATGTCCTGTGTTCGGAGTTTGATTTAGCTGTAAAATCTCTGAGATCGATTCTATTGAATGCTATTCTTCAGGAATAAATAAATCGATATAACTTTCTCCTAACCAATTGATAATTTGAAAAGTACTGAAATAATCTTTGAATCAACGTAACACGACCCACGTCAATCACTGATGGGCGTGCATATTTCGCACTGCCCACGTAACTTGCACGGCCTGCGTAACCCGCACGGCCTGTGTGACTCGCACTGCTTTTGTAACTCGCATGGCCTAACCCGAATCGGCCTGTCCTACATTTTTTTATGAATTGGCTCGTCATGTCCAATACGTCACATACTCCAGGGCCGGGCCTATAGGTACGCGCGGATTGGCTTCTGCCGGTCTGTGCAGAGCTCTGAAGAATACTCAGACGTGTATCACAATGAGGAGAGACACTAATATTTCGACCCTGTAACTTTTAGAAGTTATATTACAGAGGTAGTGAGCACTGCTTCGCGAAAACGTAGGGTTTATTTCCAGGAACAGTAAACAATTCTCTCCTGAAACACTCAGTTCACTTAATTGCCATTTTATTGAAACTCCACTTGTATTGGACATTTTTACAACAAATACATATTGAAAGTTGAGAGCGAGTTCATATGAGGTTCTTAAGAACATATTCATATGGCAAGGGTTGCTTATATGTATATAAACCCAGAAATATTAATGTAACTTCTCCGAACTGTGACATAGCGTAGATTAGTGTCAAACCCAGATAGCACAATGTCATTCATAGAACGTGGAGAGAATATTCTTCGAGAATATTTTGATATTCCCAGAATATTCTCACAATATGATAAACATGTTCTAGGGATGTTTCATGAACATTCGGATTGGACTGTTTTGAATATTCTGAGAATATTCCTACTATATTGAAACAGAATGGAGAACTTGAAGCCTTAACCACTTCGCCACGAACCTTATTGATACATAAAATGAATAGCAAGATGACAACACTGAATTAGTGGGATAATCAGCATTGAGGCTAGAGAAAAATTGGTTATGTCAGAGTTAACATTTTCAATATTGATACAAGACTAGGAACATTGATATCAATTATTTTTATACGATTCTGAATATTCTCAGAATATTCGACAGGAATATCCTCAGAACATTCGAAGAAGATATTCTGGGAATATGTCGAATTGAATGTTCATAGAATAGTCGCTGGAGGACGAGAATATTCTATGATCATTATCTGAGAACAATCTATAATAATATTCTGAAATAAGTATATTTGAACATTGTCAGAATATTCATAGAATATTTTGTGGTGTCTGGGAATGTGTGATTGTATAAATTGATCGATGGCCCTATTGATTCTCCAAATCTACTTACTTCACTTAGATTCGATACGTCGGCCAGAACAAGAGATCCTCCTATATCTTTCTCGAATTTTCACTCAACGTAGTATGGAAACGATAATAACCCTACGTATGGCGAAATATATTTTCTTGTGTCATTACTATTATTTTGAACAAAGTCGCCAACAAAACAACCCAGCAAACATTTTGATATGGGGCATCAATGGCCTAATATATTTTTCCCGTACCTGACATCAGCGGCCCAGTAAATGGTCCCATATGCGGGACTTTATATATCAGTACACTGCGGCCGGCAGCTGGTCCCAGTGCTGGGTTCCCAGCAAACATATTCAGTTCCCCGGCAAAAGGCCAGTACAACATAATCGACACATTGAATTTCCCATAGCAAGCCCAGCATATACATAAATGATGGGACTGTAATGGCCAATTAACGACATTGGTTACATACTATCAAGGTAGGGGAGGGGTGGGGGTTTTAGGGGTCCATTGGATCTGAAAGTTCTAGTACTTTTTTATTTCACAATATAACCCTCTGATCATACCAGATTTCAAGAAAACAATTCTATGAATGACACAATGATATCTTCCTAACCTCTCTGTTCTTCAACGATGTGACTGCTTAGTGGTTGGTATGTGGTATCTACATCTTATTGGGAAGCATTCCTTCGAAGTCGATTCTTCGTCATGAGGTACTTCTGGAATATGAAATGCATCATTTGTTTATTTAGTGGCCCATGAGTTGCATGAGTTTATAACTTGATAATATAGTCTAATGACGTGATAATATGGAGCTTTCCAATTCTCATAATTTTCTTGGCACAGGTATTTCTGTAGCTGAAATTTCATTGTTATTTAGTATAGAGATATATAGGTTCACCTAACCTGGAATTACTTTTGATAGCAACAAACGAGTTAAAAATGATAGTTAATTGCTTTTGGAGAAGTATAGCCCACTCCAATTAATATGATCATTAGGTGTATGAAGTTACGAGATACCAAACACATGCATTCAATGATGAAATTCTAAACACTATGTAGGTAGATTGATACTTACACAATATTATTTTAATTGAAGAATCTTCTATCATTATCAATTGAGAATACTACTGCCATCATAAATAACCACCAGGGAAAGAGAGGACCACATTAATTCGACATAAACAAACCAGTACGCGATCACCACTCACGAGAGTCAGCCATCTTAGTCACATTTAATATTGATCAGCTGATTGTTGTTGTAGACGTTCCCAGAACTACCACCAGGGGGACGAGTAGCGAACATGAAATTGGCCAGCAAAGGGCCAGATCTCGTAATTATTCAATTAGTTCCAGACATCTTACCATCACAAGGCCATCATCGTATTTTTAACTGATGGTTACTTGGCATTGGAAAATCATCGGCCCATTACCAATACCCCGGCATCGTCACTTTCCCAGACTAGCCTGCACTAGGCCGGACTCCTCCCGCTAGTTCAATGTTTGCTGGGAATCCTTGGCGATATGAATAGCTGTTAGTTTAAAAAAAAAATCTCCTGTTTAAATGAGCATTTGATTGTTGTTCTCATGGGTATCAAGAACAGTATGTCATTTCGAAGCTAGAGTTAGTTTCGACAAGGGTCACTGGAGGATATACTTGGAAAATTTGAGAAGATGTTTTATGGAACTCACCTCGACTTTTTGGATGTAGTACAGTCGGTATAATCTGAATGGATCGGGAATCATTATTAACTTTTTCTCCTATTTGTCCAGTTCTAGCACAATCTGCTAAAAACCCTCCAAAGAAGAACTGAACATCTGGATGGTCTTCATGTGGATCTTGATATTTTGTATTGACAAAGCCAGTCACTTCTGAAATACCTGAAATTAATGTGTTGAGAAGAAGTGTCTACTGTGTTATTGTAGTTTGAGTTTTTCATTGTTCACAAGTAAGTCACTAACGAACCATCAATAAGTTGGTTAATGATTCAGCTATTCAGTAGGGTTCACTACATACATGGGATTTAGCTACAGTTTTGAGTAAAATCGAATCTAATAAGCAAATAGTGTCTTCGAAAACTGAGCGAGATACAAATGTAGCACAGGAGACTAGACGATTGTATTTTCAATTGTTCAAACTGATGAAAATATGAAACTCGAGAAACCAGTGGCGTAGAATGTTATTCAGAATAAATATCGATGAGGTAACGCATTGCGACTGATTCACTGAAATTATTATTTTGAGTGGGATCACACCAAGAACCTCCATATTATTGTGAACCAATCATTTTACCCTATCGAAATTCGATCAAAATAAGAAAAAGTTATCATAGGAAAACGATATGACAAGAAATCAATCTCTGAATTTTATGGCACGTATTCATACGCAGTTCACATTGTATGCCATGAATGTTGAGATTGGAATTAGGTACTCTTATGTTCAACATCTTGATACCCTGGAATTGAAGAACTATTTCATGGTTGATAGGACGGTTTTGGTTCGATGAATTACGTGGTGAAGAAGATCAAATTATCTGGAACTAGAGATGAGGAATCTTTAGCTGTGGCGTTGAATATATCGAAGGCAATCGACCGTGTTTGGCATCAAGGACTCCTCGACAAACTACCGTCATCCATACGACTCACCACCTCAGCATCAAAAACCTCAAATATACCTTCTTTTATCGAGTTTCCGGTTTTAGACAGATCGCTCCATGTGGTGGTTGACAGCGACTATCGTATGATACTTCGATCATACAACAGACTAGATGAGTACCTAATTCATAGCCCTGGAAATACAGTTGGTTTGGAATCATCATCTTGAGTGTTCATTTCATGCTAAACAGGGATATCATCAGCTGATTCTCCCAGCAACAGTGGCGCACGGTGAAAAGTGCTTGATAGTATTATAAATTCGTGACCCAGTTTTGAGTAGCAAATTGAATATTCTCGACTGTGTTTCAGTGATCCATTCGCATGCTTTCATTCTATATTCATCAAATGTATTTTGTATTTTTGTAATGATTATTAACTTCACATGTCACAATATGACGTTCTCGTTGTGTCAGCCAATTTCGATAATGCTTGATTTTATCCAATCATTTGGTATCAAACTAATAATTCCTTAGTAGTGAATTGAAGCGATAATTTTTTCACGTTTGGATTTCCTTTCAGAAAGAGACCCATAGACTGCGTTGTTGTTAGGCTATCTTGTTCGACAAACAAGTCTGATCGAACAAAAATGACAGATTATTTACCTAGCCTCACATTCAGATAATATATCACTGATATCGAAATGATTGGAATATATCCTAGATTGTTTGAAAATGTCTTCAATTTTTAGGAGTTTCTTTTTTTTATTTTCAGCAATGTTGCATCTTGAAGAGACTGAGATATTTCTCAAATCACCATTAGACACTGGATGTTGCAGACAACTTATATAATCTTGATTTATTGGGAAACTATCACTAACATCTCTATTAGGTGCAAACCATATCGAAACCATATCGAAATCTCGTATGATGTCCGTGTGATGGTCGGATAAGAATAACCCTACGGTAAGTCCTGCCTGTCGTAGAAGGCGACTAAAAGGACGCCAATAGGTGGAAGATGGTTAACGCCATCGCCCGGTGCGATACCACCACATCAACCATAGGCACTGTGAAATGGGTATACTTACCCGTGTTTCAGTAGCTGGTTGATGTTTCGGCCAACCCAACCCAACCCAATTTCCTTTTCCTTCCACGCCAACCTCCCTTCTTTATACAGAATAAGTGATGATGAGTTCTCCTTAAGTAAAATTATCCGGAAGTAAAATACCTCTCCATTCGGATTTCCGGGCGAGAGGTGCTAGAGGAAGTCCACCATCGGCTGAGAAAGTCCTCAAGATAGACCTATGTAACATCCGAGGTCTAAGTAAGAACATCAACGATGTCCATCGACACCTTCAAATTGAAAATCCAGACATATTGGCTCTTACTGAGACACAGGTCAATTCATCCACCAATACGACCTATCTGCTCTGTCCAAGGAACGAACTCCACACAAGTTTCAGATTCAAGGGAGGTCTCTGCCTCTACTCCAAAAAGAATCTCTCATGTCAACGAGAAAAAACTTTGGAACCAAATAAGTTCGATGTCATGTGGTTCAAACTCGATAGCCAGAAACAGACCAAATTCCTATGTTGTCTCTACTTATCACCAGATGATCCATCCTATGAAGAGCTCTTCAAAAGACCTTCAAAAGAACCATCCAGCAGCATAAATCATCATCATGGACGATCTCAATGTACACAACACTGCTTGGCTCGTACACTCTAACAAAACGGATGAAGCTGGGCGACAAGCCGAAGCTTTCGCCATCACTCACGGCTTAGAGCAGCTTATCAAAGAACCTACACGAATTTCCGATGCCAATAACCATTCAGCCAACTACTTGACTTATTCCTCACTAATAATTCAGCACCCTACATCATAGATGTACGAGGCCCACTTGGCAATTCTGACCACACACTCATCTCCACAACCTGTCCATTTTTCATTCCATCAACTGCTCCGGCATCCCCACGTCTTATATGGCATTAAAATTCAGGAGATTGGGACGGTCTCCGCATGTTTTTCTCCGAGTTTTATTGTCATAGAGTATGCTTTGACTCTGAGGACTCTTCATAGTGTGCTGCGGAAATATCCGAGATCATCATGCTCGGGATGGACACATACATACCTACCTCGTTCTTCGAAAAGATCATCACCTTCGAAACCCTGGTTCAACAAAAACTGTTCTAGAGCTGTTGCCTTGAAACAAACAGCCTACCATCGCTGGTGCAAAAACCCTAACCTCGCGACTAGAGCAGAATATGTTGATGCCAGGAATAACTGCAGCCAAACAATAGATGCTTCGAGAGAAACATACAATGCCAAGATAAGATCGAAACTCATAGATTGCCCCAATGGCTCCCGTTGGTTTTGGTCCCTTGCTAAAGCGGTCGAAAGAAATTTCACTAATAGTTCATTTCCACCACTGTCCAAATCCGACGGCACATTAGCAACAACATCGCAGGAGAAAGCAAATATTTTTGCAGATATGTTCGCAGCAAACTCTACTTTAGATTCCCAAGGAAAAGTGCCGCCAGACATTCCACCCGTTGAGAGTCGAATGCATGAAATCGTATTCCGTCAACGCACTATCAGACGAATATTGCTTGGTATCAAAACGAACAAGGCTAACGGTCCTGATGGAATTCCACCCATCATCCTCAAAAAATGTGCACCAGAATTAACACCGATTCTCTGCAAGTTGTTTACCGTCTCGTACAGGTCGGGTATTTTTCCATCATGCTGGAAGACAGCTAGAGTCCAACCAATCCCCAAAAAAGGGAACAAGAACCTGCCCAACAACTACAGGCCCATCGTCCTGTTATCAGTAATCTTAAAAGTGATGGAGAAAGCCATCAATATTGAGCTTATCAAATATCTAGAGAGCTCAGGAATCATCAATGATAGACAATATGGCTTTCGCCACCAAAGATCTACTGGAGATCTACTTGCCTACGTCGCCCATTTATGGCAAGCTTCATTAGAAAAACACGGGGAATCTCTAGCTGTCGCGTTGGACATATCGAAAGCATTTGACCGTGTTTGGCACGAAGGACTCCTCCACAAACTACCATCATACGGCTTACCACCTCAGCTATGCCATCTCTTATCGAGTTTTCTTATCCTCCCTAGGAACGCACGATGTTCTTTGAACATTATAGAGATTCCTGTTCGTGCGCTCCAAGCGATAAAAAAAATGATACGACACTGATGACTGCTTACCTATGGAATTACGTATTTTGATCATTTGGTTTAAGCATAAACAATGCAAAATATTCATCGCTGTCGACTGTGAGATACCAAGAATTCGTCTTGCAACATATTGTCAAATATTCAAAATTCCTATATTGACAAACTGAAGCACTCGACAAGATGACCAGGATATTTATGAATTACTACGGATCTGATCCGACTATTGAATGAATGCATGTGTTGAACTAGATTCCTAAACAGATATAAAAAATGCAGATGACGTGACATTGATAACTTTTAATCTGGGCCGCTTGACAACACTGGCCGCGATTGGGAACATAATATTATAATTGTTGGGTTTGTTGTCCGGAGGTCTGATACCATTGGTATCAATTCCGGCGTTTCACAAGGAACGATTCTGCCATCAATAGTTTACCGACTCCATATCAATAATCTGTTGGGAACAACGATGTTTCCAACCCACAACTTTGTAGATGATAGAACTTTCCATACTGCGTTCGCTTTCAGTATTTCCATTTACGTAGGTAGGTTATCGCTGTCAGTAAATATCTTTCTGAAGTTACATCCTGGGGACCAACAAACTAGTCGAAATCAACGCCACTGAAGCTCAAGCCTGTATTTCCTCTAGAAAAAAAGAACTCAGTATGCCTGATATAATAATGTCTGGTATCACCATTTCCACAAAGTCAACTGAGTCTATGCTTGGTATTAGCCATCAGCAATACTCTCTCATAGAAAAATCATGTTCGATCCATCGCAAAAGCTATACTTCACAAAAACTCGGATATATATTCATCGGATTCATATGATAGAAACGCATTCGAATAACATAGGAATCAATCCACCGATGTCGAACAAACCTAATACTTGTATCAATCAAAATCTGAATGACCAAATTGATCGCATGACACCTGATGAACAAGATACAAACACAAACACAATCAATACAAGCATACATGCTAATTTGATAAAAAGCGTATTCGAATCCGAATCGCGAAATTAACGTAGTAATCCATAACAGGTGTGTATATCAAGCTTGCTCTTCAATGAATGCCCTTGCATCATGTCCTCTCAGCATATCCCACCAGCCACGTTTCACCCATAATGATATTTCTCGAAATATCGAATGTGTTCTTTTTTTATCTTCTAGCTTGATCACAATAATTCATACGGAGACAGGTTTGTCCGCTGCAAGTAGTTTTCCGTCCCGATATCCCAAGCACTGAAGTTACATCAGCAAACTCAATATAGTGGATAATACAGTTTCTCTACAAAAATGATGATCTAAATGTAACTGCCCGACATATAATCTTCTTTTCATCTCAAAAGATTCTCATGATCTACAAAGTTCACAGATATATACTCTCAGATTCCATACAGAGAAGAGCCATTCGCCTGGTAGGTGATGCCACACTCACTAATCCTTTGACCTCATCAGTACTCCGTAGAGAATTCGGTGACCTCTCACTTTCCCATAGATACTTTCACAGGAAATGTTCTTCAGACATCTCTACTATCATTGCATCACTAGCAATACCAGTCAGACGAACTGTACAAACACATTCAGTACATTTTTTTGTTGTCCACTTTGGAATATGTCGAACAACAGTCTACCGAAACTCGTTCGTCTTCAAAACGGTTGAGTTATGGAATTCTTTGCCAACGAAAGTATTCCCAAGAACTTATAACCTCCAGAAATTCAAGAAATAGTCCCATGAATATCTCTTTCACCTATCTTTCCTAGGCACGCACGATTATCTTCGTACATCATAGGAATTACCTGTCGTGCGCTGCAAGAGATAAAAAGAGTCCCAAGGATATGTTATGAATTATCGAACCGATTATATCTCCGACTCTTGTGACAATGTCTTGAAGTGTAGGCAGTATATTCTATTTTATAGTTACGAAGGGGAAGAATTCCGTTCACTCACCTGTTCCACTCATCAATCCATCTCTGTATAATAAATATTCAACAGCTGTCGCCCAATTCAGCGTGGCAGTGTTCGAATCATTTATGTGGAAATTGATGAAAAACGCCACGTGATTTTGTAGGTTCTTTCCAACTCCTGGTAAATTATGTACGACTGGAACGTTGACTTTTCGTAGTTCTTCTTCAGGTCCCACTCCAGAAAGTAGCAATAATTGGGGTGTGTTGACAGCACCTGGAGAAAAATAAGAACATCATACTTGTGTGTCATGTTATACCGATTGAGATATAATAAAGTTCTACCTCCTATAACTCCATCATTTTTGACAGTAGGGAAGCAATAGAAAAACGAACTCACAGGGGATATATTCTTCCTTCTCGGAATCACAGATACATTTTCAATCACTGAAAAATATACAGGAAGCAGCAAACAGTATATAGATTTCAAATGGATCACTTTGTATATTTCCTCATCAATTGATTCGTGGAGCGTACCTAATTATTGGAAGGAATCTCAATTGGAACATCTATTTGACGTTATTGGGAGACATTGACCCTAGGATGACAGACATTTTCAAAAGTGACGACAAGTCAAAAGAAAATGAAATAATTTTCAAACATGACGGTGTACTCTCTCATTATGTCGTTGCTGTGCGGCTATTTTTTGATGATCATTTTCTGAGTCATCGAATTGGTAAAAGAGTTTCCATCGAATGGCCACCATGCTCACTTGATCATACTCCTCTGGAGTTTTTGATGATATCATTCGAAATCGCGAGTGTACGTCACGAAACCTGAAACACTAGACGTGCTACGTCAGAGAATTATGAAAGGATGCCAATTTCAATAATACCACCAGATCATCTGGAATGTTAGAATATAATTTGAAAACAGATTGAATCATCGTTTGCAAGTTGAAGGTATTTCGATCTATTCAGTAACTTCCGTTTTCCTTCAGCTTTTTCTAGACTTTTCCGTCCTTCCGAAGGGACATTGAGCCGGTGTTGATGAGGCCATAAATGTTGGACAAGTCAAAGATCCCTACCTCTGGCCGGAACACGAAAGGATTCAACGAAATTCACGGTTTAGGGTCAGAGCAGGTTGGTTTACAAGTGAGTGGGTCTATTTGGCCCTCTACTGTGACCCGCAAGGGTCTATTGTGTCTTGCTTATGAATTTATACTGCAACAAGTAGATCCAGCTTCTTAATGATGCCGATTAGTTACTTGGTGAGATACCTTTCAGGTCCGAGGGTGAGAGTGGAACCCCGCCAAACAGCAAGAACCTGATTCGAGCCGCGGCGGGGCAGGCACGAAGTTCCATTATCTTCAATGCAGAGGCAGCACGATTTGATCATCTGACAACACAAATCATGACATGTGATAATTCAGACGACAGTGGTATGTTAGGAGGCCTATTAGAGAGAGTAGCTCATCCCTGCTGTATTCTTACTTTTGTTTGGTAACTTTCTTCGAAGAATGTATGAGTGCTTCGAAATGAGCCAATCCTGGTAGATCCTGCTAGAAGTCTGATACTCTTCTTGCAGTCCAGGAATTCATTTTATGTTTGGCGAAAATTGGTGAGGAGATGCCAATAGTAGGTTCTGGTCCAATGAAACAACTTGCGATACCCTCCCTAGCAAGGAAATCTGTTGTTTTATTACCTGCCATACCAGAGTGGCCAAGATTCCAAACCAGAAATTCATTGAGTCTTCCAACCGCGAAAGGTCTTTAATGGCAGTTCCATACCAGTCTAGGAGTTGATCAGTTTTAGCAGAGATTCTTGAGAGCCGCTTGGCTATCCGAGAATATTTCAATTGTTTCATGTCGTGTGAAATTAGTTTCCTTCAATCTCCTCACACACACATCGATGGCGTGCAATCTCGCCTGAAATACTGAAGATATCTCTGTCCTAGGTCTGCGACCGTTTACACCCGCATCAGAGCCTGTGGGTATTATCGAAAAATGTGTGAAAAAACAGTTATCTGCCCTCAGTAGTTCCTTCTTCTAGAGGAAATAGTCATCTCTATCCAGGCTCAGGGCAGTGTGAGGAAATCCATAGGTAACTTTTGGAGTCATGATATCGGTGGTCATACACAGAATGCTGTGACTTCTAATCGTGAAGGGTCTTTAATGGCAGTTCAAAACCAGTCTAGATGTTGATCGGTTCGAGCTGAGTTTTCTCAGAGCCACTTGGCTATTCGAGAATATTTCAATTAGTTTATGTGTGAGGTTGGTTTCGTTCAATTTTTTCACATACACATCAATGGCGTACATTCTCGCCTGGAATACGGTCTTGAAGGACCCAAGACAGGTTGATTTATCTGTTCTAGGTCTGCGACCGTGTACACCCACACCAGAGCCTGTGCGTATTTTCGAAACATGTGTGAACCACCAGTTATCTGCTCTCAGTAGTTCCTCGTTTCAGAGGCCATAGGTAACTCTTGAAGGCATGATGTCGGTGGTTATTCCCAGAATGCTGTGGCTTTCTGACGTGTCCGCCAATAGTCTGGTTCGCTCCGTGTTAGCCTGATTCGTCGTTATAGCAGTGATTATACTTATCAGCTTGGTACTACTGAACTTATCAGAATTTCAGCCCTCCAAGTTATTATGTTACTATATACAAAATTATGAAATGAGCTGCAAAGTTGCTTGATTCAACATATACCTAAATCTCATGTGACCAGATGTGGCAACTACAGTGAAATGTGAAAATGGAATCTGACAAACTATTTTGGACTCGAAATATTATCCCTTGACAGGTATTTAGGCAGTGGACCGTCCTTTGACTACTTTGATTTCCTAGAGAGTTTCGATTATACAAATAGAATTCGCGATAATGCGATGGTACATTTCCATATCTGAATAGGTTATCAAAAAGGACCCTGTCAGATCTCACCATTTTGGCAAAAATTTTCCAGAATCTTGCGAAAATGACACAGTCGTTATGTTATATCAGTTTCCAGTTGAGTGAAGTCATCTTCATTTTTGATTGAGGACTAACTGGAGGTTCCATATTGAGCAGGAGATCTAGCGATGACCTCCAACTGATATAGTCTAGGGTGGATAGTTGATCATTGTCATTGTTTCACTACCACATAATTTTTCTACAAGTTACCATCATTATGATGCGAATGTTCTGGATAATTCAACCGTATGTCACAGATTCAGACCAGAGGAAGTCTACACAAGAGATCGAACCAAGGAGATAGTATAGTTGATATCGTGGGTAGGTAACTATTGTGAAATGATTCCTCCCATCAATTCTTCCTCATTATTCTCTAGTTATGCAGTATCTATATAGTTCTCGAGAAGAAGATGAGATTTCAAGCATGATACCTACCCAGACAGCTTACGACGTCCCGAGGACGTACATATTATGTCCTCAGAACGTACCATCCCGTACTTCTCCGGACTAACAGAGCGTCTATTTCTAGTCTTGAATACTTCAATATCCATTATTCACTTTGAATTCATTATATTTTTGAATAATAATAAAACATTGCCAAATGTGATTGAATGAAGTAGATTAGGCTCCTCTGGTGTTAGCTGCCGATCATATCCCGATTCATTCGATAATAGGTCACAATGAATCAAAAGTGATTCTTTGTGACTGATGTGGAGAAATTGGAGTGAATCTGGCAAAGTTGGCATATTATTATCCTGAATAATATATATACAATCTGAATAAATGTGATAAGCTCACAGTCATTTCCACCTAGTGTTCATAAAATGAACAACAATGGTAGATTTCGGGAGAAAAACAACTACTTTCCTGGCTAATGCCACGCAGGATATTGAATTACATCCTTTCGAAATCTATGCCTCGACTCGTTTAAACGAATACTGATACAAGTGATTCTTTCCCGAATGCCTTTTGATTTCGATTAAGCCAGGCTGCTAGACAACCACAGACCGGTTTCGAGATCTTTGACTCTTATCAGTGCAGTGTATATAGTCTCCAGCCAGCAGTCCTAAGACCGCCGACTTAGCGAAGCCTAATAGCCAAACAGAAATCAAGTTGGCATTATATCCACCCCGAGGCGTTTTTCATCAACAAAATGAAAGTAACGCCATCTGAGTAGAACCATATACATACAATCTCTGTAGGAAGCTGAGTTCGGAGGATATAAATATGGATTTATATGCACATACAACGTCCTGTTCTATTCTCGACCAATCAGAACATTCAGTCTAATTCATAGCGAATTCCATTCGGTGGAGTGTGCACTCAATGTATATTATGTTTTCTTCCCACTTGCATTTTTTCTATTTTGTATTCGAAATAAGATTTTTCTTCACTATATATAGATTTCTTTTCCATCTATATGAGAAAGAAGAGGCAAATCTCAGTTGATTATGGTGTTCATGGTGATGGAATACCAAACTTGGGCCTGATACGAACGTCCCTGAAACGTTCTATCTTGTAACATCGGACGTCTCCAACACGTTTCATGGATGTCTTTCGACCGACACTTCACGTCATCAGGACGTCTTGTACGTCCCAGATGTACTCCCACTGGACGTACAGAGGACGTCTTCATGTTATCTGGTAAATGATCTGTATAACGATGGATGAAGGGTTTTAGATAACGCTGCTTATAGTATGTGCTCTGAGATACATTTTATATCGAAGTCAAGCCGTAACATAGTCCCTAGGTTGATAATTCACTATAACAATACCCTTTTCATATTTACCTCCAGAAATAATCACTTCTTTGCTAGCATAGAACAGCATTTTTCCTTCCGGGGATAAAACCTCGACCCCATAAGCTTGTTTCGTTGTAGGATTTATGAGCACTTTGGTGACCGTCGTATTGAGCAGGACGTGAAGATTCTTCCTTTTGTTGAACGGTCTCAAGAAGGCTCTGGCAGAGCTATGCCTGGATCCATTCTTGTTGGTGCTTTGAGCTATAGCAAAACCCGTGTGGTACCTGCCGTTTACGTCTATGATTGGAAAACCTGAAATGGAAGGGATATAATCATCAAACATGCGGAAAATTAAGTCGGAATTGGTCTGTGTATAGTACTCATTGCAAAATTGTTCGAGATGTTCATCATGAAGTGAAAAATGTATTTCACACAACTGTGGTTGCTCAAGATATGAGGAGAATTTTCCTGGTCTGGAGAATATGAGGGTTTGGAAAACACAGGAGTAAATCAACATGCCCCGAGGCTCATAGAACAGGGTGTCCCAAAATAACATAGGAGAATGTCGACGACTGATATCAGGAACAAAAATAGTAAAAATAGGTCATATGGACATGGGACAAAACATAACCCACTGGGAAGTTATAGCCATCTGAAAGAGGGCCCGATAACAGTTTTTTTATATTTCCGAAATTCTCTGTGTTGAGATAATGAAAATTTGTACATGTATATTGATTTCAATGACTTATTTGTAAATGTTAGTAATTATCCGAAATTTTGATCAAGGGCGTGAAAAATAGGGTCATTCCTTTCCGCAATTTTTTTCTGTCATTTTCGGCAGTTCGACCAGGAGATATAACAATATCATAAATTCGACAAAGAAATAATACTCTTGTTCAGCTTTGATGGCACTCATCATTTCCGAGATGATTCGAGTTCAAGTCTGCTGCGTAATAAAATGAGTGCTTTTTCTTTATAGGTTACCAACCATAATAATTCTCAAAATATTTTCTTCATTGTCCTTCTTCTGAGTCAAACATCACAAGTCGATGTTTGAAAAAGGGCATTTTGATCGAAAAATACTTTTTGGGAAAAATTGATACCCTATTATAAGGCAAAAGTACAATTTTCGATACACAGTAGACTTTTTGAATATATATATCTCGAAAATGGTGAGTGCTATTGAAACTGAACAACTGTATCATTTTTGAGTAAAGATTATGTTATTTCCATTTTCCCTGGTAGAAATGTCGGAAATTGCATAATGAAAGTTTGGGGAGAAATGCCCCTAGTCTCACCTATTTCCCACGCTCATAATCTGAATTTCGACAAATTCTTAACATTCTCAGAATGAGAAATAATATACATATACGAAATTATTTTCCCCATCACAAAGAGTTTCGGGAATATTAGAAAATGAACATTACTTCCGAGGGCACAGGATACTCAATTGTTGAGTATTCTGTGCCCAGGGGTCATTTCTGAGCTCATGTTCATGTAAACTTTTCTTACTATGTATTTCTGTTCCTAGAATCTGTGATTGGAATCTGTCTTCGTAATTTCGGGACACCCTGTATATTCAGGACGAACATTGTTTTCTCAATAACGATTCGAAGCGCATGAAAGGGCATTATTACAGAAACATCGTGCGTACCTAGAGTGAGGATAGGGAGAGATGGAAGAATGGAAGGATTTCTTCAAATTGCTAGAGGGTATAAGTTTCTGAAAATACTTTCCTAGGCGAACAATTTCAAAGCACTGCAGTAACCTGAATGAACAAGTTCTGATGAAGAATTGTTCGACATAACTCAAAGTTGAAGAAAGAACGATGTCCTTATTGAGCTTGTCGAGTTGTCTGACGGGTCTCAACATTTTACGTGAAAATATGTATAGAAAAGTGGCATCGACGTTACTAGTGCGTTTCAATAATGTTAGGGAATTAGTGAAGATGCCATCAATGAGTGAGCGAATGACACGTATCTGGATGAGATCTAAGAGAATGGCCGTATGTTTGGGTGCATGAGAAGCTGTTGAGATGTAAAGTAGCTTCTTGGAATGAACATCCAAGTTTTCGTGAAGCAGCTTTCGCGATGGAATTGAGATTTAGTGGATTTTGTGGGAATGGTGTAACCAGTCATTGCTTTATCAGCAATGCCATACTGACCTCCACTGCTATAGAGGAGATACAGAGGCTTGAGTTTTGGTGGCGGTCAATTCAACTAGGTTGTTATTGGTTCCTCAGACTGTACTCTCAACAGCAGCTGTGATTTTTTTCATAAATTTCGAGAAAACTACAGAGCTGTGGATGGAGCAAGTGGTTTCTCTCAACTGATTGATAATATGGAGTAGGAACATTCTTGGTGCCGAAATGGATCCTTGTTGATCGCCGGAATTGATGGTTATGGTATAAGACGATATTCCTTTCACCACCACATGGAGCGATTTGATAGAAGGAGGCATAGATGAGGTGGTGAGTCATATATATGTTTGTTGCGAAATTCGGTCGAATGTTTCCAATATTCCTTATGTCACAGCTTTAGATTCCTTATGTTTCAGTGCAGATCTCCGAAGGTAAAAGCCATATTGTCGATAATTCATGAATCCTGAGCTCTGCTGATGTTGATGGGTTCCTCCATCATTTTAGAAATAACTTATAACAACGACATAGGTCGTTAGGTGCTCGACAGATTCTTTGACCTTCTTTGCATTGCATTGGAATATAGGTACCTTCAAGCCCCATGGAATAGCACCCCACATGGATCAATGCATTCCATAGGTGCCGAGGACGAAAGCTACCAGACCAGTCTGAAAGATAAGTTGGCAAATGTCGAATGTCAAGGATATGACTAATAACTCTCGGCATTAATTATAGTCGCTAGGAAATGCATGGAACGACCTGCAGTAGCAGCAAAGGCAGATGATCATATCTGAGACCAAAGAAGATCAATTCAGTTCAATATTTGAGATTAGGTGCTAGGTGCTAGGTTAGAATGCTATTTTTACCAATGGTTCCATATATAACTATTTCAGAGATTCATGGAGAACACTATCCATATCTGAAGAATCCATCACTTTGTATTTCGAAAACTACAAGTCTTTGGAGGGAGGTTTAGAATCGTTGTTTTGTTTTTGTGAATGGAAATCTGCCATTGAATTTTTCCCTAACATCAATGATATTCTTGTTGAAGTGTTTTTGAATCTAATGGTATACTAACAATATATGCATTAGATATTAATATGAAACGGTAATGTTTATACATGAAGTGAATTTAGGAAACAAAGTGAAACAAAAAGAGTTAGTATGAGATTATGTAATAAAATATTCCGAGTCATAGATTGACAATTACAAAAAAAGCCCATGATACATGGCAATAAATCTCCTCAATAGACTATACCCGAATGGAAAGAATTGAAAAAATCAACGATATTGTTTGAGAGAGGAATCAGGAAACTACTAACTCAAATACAACCTCACATAATTGAAAAGTTAATGAATTACAGAATCTGAATGATCACCTGTAGATACATTCTGGACGTCAGCTCAATCTATGTTTATTGTAAAATGTATTCATAGTTTATGTCGAGGTTTATATAACATACTAGCTGACCCGGCAAACGTTGTTTTGCCATAACATTATTTCTAGAGGAAATGTTTTTACATAAATATTCATCAAAGAACTTTCATCATTTTATTCATACTTCTTTTCAGTTCGGCTATCCATGAAAACGGGATTCTTTAGTTTTTTAAACTATTCTACTTATTCTGTACTTCTTTTAAATTCGGCATTATATATCATCATTATTTCATTCATTTACTTCTCACTTCTTTTTGAATTGACTATCTATAAAAACGTGTTCCATTAGATTTCCAAACTACTATTCATTACAATAGTTGATGCCTGGCACACGTTGTTTTGCTATATAAATGTTCTTCTAGAAAATATTTTTTTAGTTGAATATTCATCAACACACATTCATTATTTTGTTTTGAACTTCTTTTTAGTTTGGATATCCATGGAATCGTACTTCATTAGTATCTCAAACTACTATTTTCAATTTTCTTCTATCTATTTCTCTTTCTAGTTCGACAATCTATCCCGTTTTTTGAACTTGAATATCAATTTCCGGCTCCTATTCAGTTTGGCCTCGAGTTTGGCTATCTATAAAAGCGTGTTTAAACATAGTTTTTCGATTTACTATTTATTACAAAGCTCTTTCACCATATTGGATCTACTATCTTGAATTTCCCAATTTTAAAAAATAAAATCATAATTTCCGACCTTGAAAACCCCCAGATACAGATTTCAAATAGAATCGGATTATAGTCACGAAACTCGTACGGCATATGGATCCGTCATCTTGAGTTCCCAAATTTTGACAAAAGAATCATTATCTCCGACCTCGAGAACCACCCGATATCAATTTTGAATAGAATCTGCCCATAATCACACCACTCGTCCGCCATATTGGATCCGCCATTTTGAATTTCCCCTTTTTTACAAATGATTCATATTTTCGTTCTCTAAAACCTCCAGATGATAAATTTGAATAGAATCTGACCCTAATTACAACACTTGTCCGTCATATTGAATCCGCCATCTTGAATTGCCAAATTTTTACGAACGAACCATGATCTCCGACCCGAAAGCTCCCAGATACCAATTTTGAATATGATTAGATTATAATTACAAAACTCGTCAGCCATATCAGCTCCGCCATCTTGAATTTCCTAATATTGATAGAAAATCAAAATCTCTGACCTCGAAAACACCCAGATACCAATTTTGAATGGAATCTGACAAAAATTCCAAAATTCGTTCGCCATACTGGATCCGCCATTTCGAATTTCCTAATTTTGATGAAGAAATCATAATCTCCCACCCAGAAATCCCCCAAATACCAATTTTGAATGGAATCGGATAATAATACTCGTCTGCCATATTGGATCCGCCATCTTGAATTTTTGATTCAAAAAATAGATAACAACCGATTCTCATACCTATCGAATACGCACAAAAATTTCATACGAATCGGTCGAGCCAATTCGGAGGAGTTCGACCACTAACACCGTGATCGGGACATGAGAAT